TGAGGAATAGTTAAAAAAAACAGTTTTTGACAAAATCCAAGACAGCAGAAAACCTATTGAACTCATCTTTCGCCTCGACTCATGGAATCCAGGGATGCCTGGCTTTAAAATTTTGGACATATAGTTCAAAAGTTATGACCATAAATGTACTTCCAAATTAGGCCCAAATTTGACCCGATGATGCTGGAGCTTTGGCAGCACTTGGCCCAAATTTGGTCAGAATGTTCCTTAGACCCTCCCCAATCAGTGTGCCAAATTTCACAACTTTTTACCAGACGGTTCTATGGGCTGCCATAGACACCCTAGCCAGAAGAAGAATAAGAAAAGGTAGAATAACAATAGGTGCTTGGCCCCCTAATAATAAAACTTAAATGAAGTTGGATAACAATAGCATTGCACATTGTTTACATTGCATACAGTAGTATGTGCTACTGTGCATTTACAAAGATTTGTTACCTTTTTTTTTACCTTTTACATTTATATCACCAAATCATATGCAGAAATGTGTGATTTCTTTAACAACACAAAGTTTGTGACAACAAATACATAAAGCAAGTTATAGAAAATCCTATTAAGTTTTACCTCTTCGTAGACTTGCACTGGAAGTGAATAATGTCATGGGAAGTTTAAGTATCATAGCAGCTACTAACAGTGGCTAATGCAGTATTTAGGTTCCCTATATTTATGGGTCTAGCAGGCTGGAGGTCTTGTGCAGAGAGATGCCCATCAAGTATGCTCATTAAAATATCTGGACATGTTTTGATAGTTCTCAGCTCTGTCTGATCAGTGAGTTCAGCTGGTTTCTGAACAGTGCTTTATCATACTTCTGTCTTTTCCCTCTCATGTAAACTATTTAAGCTAATATCAAAGTTTGCCATCATACAAACATTTTTAAATAGTGACAGATATCTCAGAGTATCTGTAAAACAGATTATATTAAATAATTCACCAATGTTAACATCAGACAGTGTAAAATAGTCTACAATGATTTTGATTCAGTGGCCTAGTTGTAGTTGTAGGAGTCTACACAACAACCCACCTGACACAACATTAGTAAATATTAGTCTCGCCACATGCATAGTGTTTCACTTGCTCTCTCCACCTCTTGGCTCTTAATGTGCTCAAAGTAACTAAGTAGCTCAGTTGAAAAGTATGTAATAAGGAAGAATGTTGTACTGTTTTCTATTCAGCCATGAACAGTAGGCGTGTAAAGCAATAGCAGAGGCAGAGAGAGAGAGAGAGAGAGAGAGAGAGAGAGAGAGAGAGAGAGAGACACTGACTGACTACTGGGCAAACGATAATAGCTTTATCGAAAATGGTGAAGTTAGCAAGATAAGCAATACGATTAGTTAGCTAACGCTATCTTGCTAAGCTACAGATTAGTTAATGTTTGCTTAGAGAGCTATGTTTCACTGATAAAATATCATTATTAAAAGACAAAATCTAACATAAAACGGATTCAAGACATCAAACATATAAAACTGAAGTCATATTACACATTAACATCCGATGTTGTGAAACATCGAAGCTCAGCCTGAGGTAAATTTCACTCTGAGGTAAATTTCAGTCTGAGGTAAAGTTCAGTTGGTCAGCTGGTTCTGTTGGTGCAGATGAGCTCTCGCGCAGGTTTTTGAAACTGACTCAAAATCAGTGAGCATGTGATACAGGTGAAACTCCGAGACCTTCATACAACCTAAATAAGACGGTTCAAATAGAACACAATCTATTCCAGATGTCCAGATCTTTTCCAGTCCTCTTTCAGTGGTAGTGCGCTCACTGGGTACTGACAGCTGTGTCCACCTCACTTTTAAAATACCTGCTACGCTCCTAGTCTGTAGTAATTACGACTGATGTATGTAGGATTTACCTGTGCTAGGATCTCAGTAACTTAACTACAGCCCCATAGAAGTCGCTTCTCTGACTAGTCCTTTTAAAGGTCATCTATATTTTATTGTTTTGCGGCTTAAATTCTGCCAGTACTTGGTTTTAGGTTTGGTTTCGGTGGGAGATCACCCACTTTAATAGGAACACCTGCTCATTTATACAGTTACCCAATCAGCTAATCATGTCACAGCAGCACAACGCATAAAATCATGCAGATACAGGTCAAGAGCTTCAGGTGATGTTCACATCAAACAGCTGAATGGGAAAAAAAATGTGATCTCTGTGACTTTAAGCGTGGCATGGTTGTTGATACCAGATGGACTGGTTTGAGTATTTCAGAAACTGCTGATCACCTGAGGTTTTCACACACAACAGTCTCTAGAGTTTACACAGAATGGTGTGAAAAACAAAAAAACAGTAGTTAGCGGTTAGCGACAGTTCTGTGGGTGGAAATGCCTTGTTGATAAGAGAGGTCAGTGGAATGGTTCGAGCTGCCAGTAAGGACATAGTAACTCAATCACCCTTTACAACTGTGGTGAGCAGAAAAGCATCTCAGCATCCACAAAACTTTGAACCTTGAGGTAAATGGGCTACAACAGCAGAAGACTACATTGGGTTCCACTCCTGTCAGCCAAGAACAAGAATCTGAGGCTTTCATGGGCACAGGCTCATCAAAATTGGACAGCTGAAGATTAGAAAACAAATCACATAGACATCCTGTCAGATCAGTCCAGTCTGGTCATTCTCCTCTGATCTCTCACATCAGCAAGGTGTTTCAGCCTTAACTTAAGAAAAAATTAAGAATATTTTATATTCACAAAAATTCTTCTTACGAATGTTCTTATTTTTTTCTTAAGATTATTCCTAAGACAAAACTTAAGAAAAATTCAAATTCTCGAAAACATTGTTTTTAAAAATCGTCGTAAATAACTTCTTAAAGTTAGGATAACTGCCAACTTGTCGTAGATCCCAAAAGGGTAAGATTTTTAATGAATTTATTGGGTTGTTTCAAATATTAACATTACAAAATTATAAAACTTGCAACATATAATAAATACTGTATAACTTATACATACATAAGTTTCCATCTACAGCTGCAGAACATATCCTCATAAAACAGAATTTCTTTGAGATTGCAGCATTTCCAAATGTACTGGGTGCAGTGGATGGGACGTATATTGCAATTAAGGTAAGTAAGGTAAGTTAAGGTAAGTGCAAGTACACAAATTAGTAGTCTCATAGATTAACAACAATTTTTTATACTTCCTTTTGACATTTATCTTTGTAGGCTCCTTCTGATGATGAAGAAATGTATGTCAACAGGAAGAATTTTTATTCAGTTAACGCCCAGATGTTGTGATGCTTCATTGAAAATAACAAACCTTGTAGCAAAGCGGCCTGGGAGTACCCATGATTCTTTTATACTCACCAGCTCAGCACTGGGTCCACAATTCAGTGAAGGCCAAATCCCCGATGGGTGGCAATTAGGAAAATACACAGCTGAAACAGCCTCAGCCACCCTTTCCTACGCACGCCACTTACTTTGCGTCGTGATACAATTATCCAGACTCCCAAGGAGGACTTTCTTTATTGCACTAATTTCCTCGATAAGAACCTCCAGCTCTTGCCTACTGAAGTTTTTTGTTTCTTTACTTCTTCTCCATGTCAAAATAGTTTCCACTTTCCAGTAAGTAAATTCTCCTATGACGGTTAATGTCAGGTAATGTCGTTAAACGAACACATCTCATGCCCTTTACGTTCGAATGATCGGGAGGTGATTGCTACTTAAAAAATAAATTGATCCATTTAAAATTTGGCAGTATTGAATTTGTTGTAGCTAATACACTACTGTCATTTTATTCTCAAGAAATTATTTGAGAATTTCTTAAGAATTTTTTTAACGTCTTAGAATTTATCGGAAGCACTTTCTTAACTTCTTTCTTAAGAAGATTTTCACGAATCTGGCCCCTGGGCTTTTTCCGGTCTTCAACTGTCAGGAAAATCACTAGGAAAAAGATGTGGTCTTCTGCTGTTGTAGCTCATCCACCTCAGAGGCTGATGTGTTGTGTTTTCTGAGGTGCTTTTCTGCACACCAAGATCGTAATGAGTGCTTTTTTGAGTTACTATCGACTTCCTGTCAGCTCAGTCCAGTCTGGTCATTCTCCTCTGATCTCTCACATCAGCAAGGTGTTTCAGCCTGCACACCCTCCGCACACAGGATGCTCTTTTTATTTTTCGCACCATTCTTTGTATAATGTTGTGTCTGAAATTCCCAGGTGATCAGCAGTTTCTGGAATACTCAAATCAGCCCATCTGGCACCAACTGGAGCCCATCTGGTGCCACGGTTAAAGTTACAGAGACCACACTTTTCCCCATTCTGATGTTTGATGTGAACATTAACTAAAGCTCTTGACCTTTATCTGCATGATTTTATGGATTGTGCTGCTGTCACATGATTAGCTGATTGGATAACTGCATAAATGAGCAGTTGTACAGGTGCTCCTATTAAACTGGGTGTATATATAGTATATATAGTCCATCTCTCCCTCTCTCTCTCTCTCTCTCTACACATATATATATATATATATATATATATATATATATATATATATATATATATATATATACATATATATATATATAGAGAGAGAGAGAGAGAGAGAGAAGGTATTGTCGAAGATAATGTTCCCAGATGCATACACTTGCAGTCCCTAAAAAAATACTGACATGACAGATATGGACAGGATTAAAGTGCCAGAGATACTCTGGTAAAAATGACATTACCCCACATCCCCACGCAAAAAGAACTTGTCAACAATACTTCATCTATGGCAGACAAAAGCCAATTTTACTACTGGTGTTTGTGATGTGGAGAAAGATGGTTATCAGGGGTCTACTAATAATCTAATCACCCAAGCATTATCTGATTAATTGGATTAAGGCTGTTCAAGAAATCCAGTGAGGTCACTTTGATTTCATCCAGCTATTTTCTGTGCTGCTTATCCTGCACAGGGAGCCTGGAGCCTATCCCATGGGACACAATCACACACACACCGGACACTTTGGAGATACCAGGGTACCTAGAGTTAACCCCCAGGGTGTGGAGAGAGTATGCAGGTGCAGGGGGGAATTGAACCCCTGACCCCAGGAGTGCGAGGCGAGCGTGCTAACCACTAGGCCACTGTGGCCCGCCCTACTTCACTCTCAGTGATACCATTATGTAATTTCTCACCAGACTCTCATTGGAGCCGATTCATTTATGGAATCAACTGGAGTCGATTCATGATTCGCAGTGAATTTGAGAATAGACTCTTTCGGCATCGACGACTACCAGCTTTAGGCTTTGGTACAAACTGAGACCAAAACACACCACGTTCAGAGCATTGGAGATTTTTACGAAAATTGGAAAAGTAGCGTACACTGCGTTTTGTCCATACCGGTGCCCCAGTCAGTGTCTGGCGGTCATTTTAATAGAGTGCTAAACCAGCGGAGTGAGAGTAATAATAAGTAGCAGGGGAGAATGGCACTGTTGGCGTGGTCTGCACGGACAAAAGGCTTAGAAGTGCATGCATCTAAAAAAGTCTGTACGCTATAAACAATGGTTTAACAGCTGATAGCGTGCGTTTTGGTGCAGTTTTTGGTGTCTGCTCATTGCAGCCGCCATATTTAGGTTTATTGCTGGTGACTGGCTCTTTGGGACTGAATTGTTCAGCTCGACTAGTGGCGTTAGCGGTGCTGCTGGTGACGCAGGAAAATCACTCACAAGAAATACAAGGAAGCAAGAGCACCTAAAGACCCTCATGTATGCCCGGGAGGTCTCCTAAGGATACGTTATTGATGCTTTGGATTGTGTATTGAGAAACAAACAAGCAACCGGACTACCGGCCATAAGGAAACCGTATCTCATTTCTGGGTAAGTCCTATTTCCGTGCTGCTAGCAAGCGAGTGTGCACACAGCTCAGAGGACTGGCGTTAGCTCTGCTGTGTGTTGTGTGTTGATGAGTACGGCGTGTTTGTTAGGTTTCATGTGTCATGCCCATAGGAGATGTAGGCAACACATCATGCAGGGAAAAATCATAACATCATATCATCATATCATAACACTAGGGCTCAGCTCGTTTCAGACCGTGGCTAACAGTTGATACGTGTAGAAGCCGGTCTGCATTTTTGTTTAAAGCAAAATGGCTGACACCTTTGTACACCAAACCTGCTCGATAATGACAGTACGAAATAGTGCTGTACCTTTTGAAACAGATGTCATTGTTAGTTTAAACTCAGTTGTAAGATGTATGACAGATTTGGCAGGTCAGATTTGAGGATGCTAATACAAACACACTAGCTAGCAGGCTAGCTAACATTGTTGTGGCCGGCGAGCGAGGACAGCGCCATTAATAAGGTGTAACCACTTCCATGTTAGCCAGGCAGCTAACTAGGCCGAAAAGACTACACAACTGTCTAAACAGGCCTCGACTGGAAATTACCAACAACATTAGGTTATAAACATTGACAAATATAGAGGCTGGGTTCTTCTTAGCGGGATAGAAGTGGGTTTTGTATCATTTCTGTGCAATTTGTTAACAACGAAGTTGAAGTTTCTAAACTAGACCAAGCTGGTAAGTTAGTTGTGATGTTGGTTGATAGTTTACAGGCCAGGGGTTTTCTTGGTTAGCTAGGTAAGATGCTAGGTGTTTAGGAAACTGCAGCGTCTTATGGAAGTTAAATTAAATTAATTGACTTAAAGGAGTGTATATTTGAGTATTTGAGTATTTGAGTGTATATATTTACATCCGTCGTCCGCTGTCAGGACCTGGAGCTCTCAGCATGATGAGATATGCGACTTACTGACAGTAAAGCATGATAATAACATGATCTCTGTGTGGATGTGATAAAGGAGGCATGAATAATGTTCACTCAGTTCTTGGTCGTTTCATATGTTTAGTAGGATGACTGAAATGGAGAGATGTCTGAAATTATGCCCTCCTCCCTATTCCCTATTCCCTACAAACTGCAAAGTGATAATAACAATTCTGTACCTTCTGGACAAATCATTTGGACATTCAACAATCAGTTCATTGTGGAATTTTATGAGCAAATGGATCTCCAGAATCCTTCAGAAGAAGGTGTTCAAAACTGTCCAGATACTGCATTATACACTCACTGTCCGCTTTAATGGGAACACCTGTACACCTGCTCATTTATGCAGTTATCCATTCAGTCAATCTTGTGGCAACAGGACAATGCATGAAATCATACAGGTCAAGAGCTTCAGTTAAGGTTCACATCAAACATCAGAATGGGAAAGAATGTGATCTCTGCGACTCTGATCGTGGCATGGGTGTTGGTGCCAGTTGGGCTGGTTTGAGTATTTCAGAAACTGCTGATCTCCTGGGATTTTCACGCACAACAGTCTCTAGGGTTTACCCAGAATGGTGCGAAAAACAAAAAACATCCTGGGTGCAGAGGGTCTGCATGCCGAAACACCTTGCTGATGAGAGATCAGAGGAGAATGAACAGTCTGGTCTGAGCTGACAGAAAGTCTATAGTAACTCAAGTAAGCACTCTTTACAACCGTGGTGTGCAGAAAAGCATCTCAGAACGCACAACACATCAAACCTTGAGGTGGATTGGCTACAACAGCAGAAGACCACATCAGGCTCCACTCCTGTCCACCAAGAACAAGAATCTGAGGCTATCATGAGCACCGATTCACTGAAACTTGACAGTTGAAGACTGGAAAAAGACCAGGTGGACCTTTGTTTAATCGCATTTTATTGGCTACCATCTGCTGTGAAAAGAAACAGGATTAGCCAATTGGGATGATGCATTTTTCCTGTTTCTGTTTGAATAGCTGCACTATGCGCACAGAGATATCGAGGTGAGAGCTGGGGAAGGAGCTGCAGGAGTTTACTGCAAAATGAAAGTAGATCAGGTTTTATAATAAGGTGTAATTTTAATCATTTTCAGTGGAACCATCACAGAGCTATTTTATGCCAGCATTATTAATATGGAAGGATTGTCTGACAATAGATTGGGCCTTAAATGATTAAATAACAAATTCATGTCATCAGCACTCCTGCTATCTGACATGCACATTTCTACCTGAAATGCACGAGCATGTAACACTTACCAATTTAATTGTACAGATAAGGAAAACAATCAAGATTTTCTTTTGGATATTTCCTCATCCCGATGAAATTAATTTCAGGTTACGCCACTGCCAGCACGACAAACAAGTCGCTTCTGAATCGTTTGTAGACTCGAGTGTGACTTACAACAAGCACAGCAAACAGCCTGCATTCAGACTGCGGTCACGCCAGCTGCTGTAGAAACTGGAGTGCATGTATATACAGTGGTTTACGGTAACTGCTTGTAAAATGCTGTTGCTCGTCAGTTTTAGTTAAGCACTATGAGATGTTTGTGTGCACTGTACAATGGCGGTCGCTATGGTAAGGATCTCATCTAGGTGTTGATTTACCATTGCATATAATGTGGAAGTTCCTGATAAGTTGTGGAAGTTCCTGTTATCATTTAAGTTCTAGCAGCAATAAACATTTCCTTCACTAACTCTCTCTTATTCCTCTCTGTCCTTCCATACATGCTAAATTAAACAGCTTCTTAAAGAATGTTTCAACATGGCAACAATTATACTTTTATAAAGGATGCTTTAAAAAAATAATAAATTGTTGATAGAATTAAATGATGTAAATTAGTCCCTATGAGTTATCATGTCTATAGTAACAAATAACATTAAAACAAGCATCATAATATCTATGTGTGATTTTCTTGTGATTTACTGTCAGAGCTGTGTTTTTTGTTTTTTTTTTGTAATTAATTGACACCTTTCAATGGTTCGCTGGTTACTTAAACAGAATGTGTCATTGATAAGAGATTAGACAAAGCAGCTGTTTTGAAATCGGAAGTGATGTTGAAACAGCCAACTTTCCAGAGCTTTCCATGTGTAAGAAACTCCGCCAGTAGAGCCATTAAAGAAGAAATGCACTGATCTAGCTGTCAGATGTAGGAGTGGTTGATATGGCAAGACTATCGTTTCATAATTATTTTATATATGTGATGTGGAACACAATATTTCAGTTTGCTTAAATTGTTAGCAAGACAGAAGAGTTTATAAAAAAAAAAAAACCTCCTGAAAACTCTAACTTGACTTCTAGTTTTTTCATCTGCAAAAATGTTAAAAAATAAATATATCCCTGTCCTTGAAAAGTGGTACTCAGATGATAAAGGGTTAAATGATGAAAATACTAAATACTATAAAACTGCTGTTTAAAGTGTTGCCTAGTAAGCTTAGTTTAAGATGTCAGTCTTGAGCCTATCACATGCAATATGCAGAAACTTTGCAGACAGTAACTGGAGCTCAGGGGGGAAGTTTGGGAAATGCTGATTTTCTTCATACTTGTGTGTATGTTAATGAATTCCTATCAGCCATAAATTACCAGGCGCATGCATAACACAGCTGATTTGCATGTAGTCACGCCCAAATCTCCATAAAAATTTCAGTGCACACACAACTGTGAGCACGAAACGAATGATCACAGTATATATACTGAAAAACAAAAGTGGAAGTCTTTTGACTTGAAGTGAATGATCATGGTAAAGCCTGAAAAACAGAAAGTGGATTTTTTTTGTGTCACTACTATGCCAGTAAAAATATTTAATAATAAAAAGTGAGCACTAAACTTCTGTCAGCTGAGGCATTTGTTTGTGGCTTGACTCTTCGCAGACAGACCGACCAGTCCTCCGTCTATACAGCACCATTTCTTTTGGCATAATTGAATGATTAGTTTTATTTGTCTTAATTTATGGGTTTGTGTTGGCATGCTTTCTTTATTTTTTTTATTCTTTAATTAATGTCAATAATTTAAAATGACTGGTTTTTACAAAATGTACTCGATGGTATTGTTAGTCCCTGTCCTAGTGAACTAGCTTGAGGATGTGTTTTTGATCGAGGCTGCAAAGCACGTCCATAAGTCGCTCTGGATAAGGGGGTCTGCTAGAAACTAGTCGTTTCTATAATTGTCTGGTAATATTTTGAGCTCTGTGTTCTGTGATCTGGTGAGGTTTAAGATTTCCCCATTTGCAAAGGTTTGTCTACTTCTTTCTGTCATGATCTTTCTGACCAAATTTTCTGCATACGTTTCAGACAATTTTTTTTAGTTTGGTTATTTATGTG